AAGCAAATTCTTCAAAAATTTCAAAGGAATCCGCAAAAAAGTTCTCTAGCAAATAATTAAATTGCCCAGTTAAATTTAGCAACAGCTAATTTGGCTTGGTTCTTTCTGCTGAACGAGGTCCATATGTGAGAACGCGCATCTCTGCGCCATTCAAAGTCAAAATATGATGGACTTATATTATTTTAAATTTTATAGTTTACTATTCGCCAATTAGATCAATGTTGAAAGCTTTCGGCAATTTCTTATCATTTTAAGGCCGTTTACTTTTTTCCATAAATCTGTCGTACCGCACGTTTTTCTAGAGAGAACTTTTGTCTGAAGCCTGCTTCTCATGAATAATACATCCGCTGTCAATTTTCTGAAATTTTAATGCGTTCTTCTATTCTGCGAAGTGAGCTCACCCGTTAAAGCTTTTTTCGCGAAAGAAGTGGGCGTTAATGAATGAATAAATCCTCTCTCGCTGATGGAGTAGCGCTTGTTGCGCAGAATTTGCTTTGCATATTTTTATGGGGTGAGCTTACTCCTTTGCCTATTTGCTCACTTTGGTAACGTCGAAGAACCCTCTTAGTACCGCACCCCATTACATTTTAAAATACCTAATCAATGATACTTTAAAGATTTCAGACGCTCGTAAAATTTGCAAGTAGCTCTTGACTCTTGCATTCATTTTTGATTGGCGTCATATTATGCTGCAAACGCGGCAATCGGCTCTACAATCCTATCTTCTCTCGAATAAAACAATGGGAAATTGTCGGGGTGTCTACAAGTCCCGGAATAGCACTGATTTTTGAAGGGCGGTCGGGAAGTACTGAAAAGTGCGAAAAGTCCGCAAGAAGGTCCGAAATGTTATTCCTTTTTTGTCATTTTTGTCGCAAGTTGAGCGAGGAATGAAAATTTTTGAATTTTCTCGAATTTCGTCAATTGGAGGTACTGACAAAGTACTGAATTTTTCTGTTTAGGAGGTATTGAATTTCTTGGGAATGTACTGAAAAAGTACCGTAGAAGTACTGATTTTTAGCTAGCCTGTTTTAGTAGCCACCCTGATTGTGAAGGAGTCTCTCGACTGAAAATTGCGAAATGACGCATTGCGCCTTCAATTTTGCACATGCAACACGGCCATCCGTCAAGCACGAATAGTTGTATCTCTGCGCCTTTAGTTCTCAAGGAGGGCTAGGGAGCATCTTCCGTACAACAAGAGTTATCCATTCGAGGATTTGTGGCTTACGTTGTCCACAAACTTTACCTGGTAGCAAAATATTTTGGAGGATAAATTGGGCACAGCGTCGATAGCAGTCGCGAGGTCAATAGTGTGGCTGAAGAGGAACAGATGCTTTCGGACGCCACATCGCGCCACCTTGGCTCTCTCAGCGATGCTCGTCTAAATGGCAACTTTAAATATACAACTTAGAATTCCTTTTTTCTCGGTTTTTACCGCTCCGGAAAATCCGACAAATTTCCTCTTAACCAACTGCTTTCCCTCCTTTTCAAAAATGCAAGAGTTAAAGTATGGTGTCGGTGTGTCTATGATTGGGAAAACCGGAATTCATCAGATAATTAAAACTTATAGGGATAATCAAAGAAAAATCAGATTCGTTCAAGAAACCGATAATCTCTTTTTCTATCACTTAGAGGACCTTTCTTTTTCAAATTTTGTGGAAATTTTGCGCGCCTATTTTTACTAATTCCAGGTCATTGCACCCGAGCCGCCATTATTGACCTCATAAATGACATATTTGAATATTCAACGCATCATAATAACAATAAAACTTCCACTAACCAGATAACATAAACATTAGAAATACTTTTGGCATTAAAAATTTGAATGTGCGCAAAAAATTGGCCAGAGTATGAAACAAAAAAACTTAAAGTTTTTCCCCAAGAAAATCGTGGGGAAGTGGGAAAAACTGTGATTTCTCATGAAGAAATGAGATCCTGAAAATCAGGAAAAACCACAAAAGGAAGATGGTCAAGAATTCTACGGAGTTGCCACAGTCAGGGAAAACAGGGAAACTGGGAAATGTCAGATAATTTTAAGAAGTCACGGAAAATTTGTTTAATCACTTTTATATCGACGGTGAGATTCCCAAACCACGTATCTCGGTTTGCAACGTTGCAGACTTACTGTCATACTTTATTTTTTGAAAGAAGAACCACTCAACGTACATTCCCTAAAATATCTGTGATTTTTCTGCTCTGTGCGAAGAAAATTCTGTGAAAACTACACGGAAAGATGTTGATTCGCTTCCAGAAAAAAATTAATAAGAGGAGCGGAGATTTTTAAACACCGCAAACGAGATACGTGGTTTGGGAGTTTCACCGTCGATATGCTTTCTAGAATGGGTTTGAGGTTTCGAACTAGAAATTTTGCCTGAAAACTATTTTCAATTACGCTTTCTTAACCACCCGTCACATTTTCAATTGTCAGGGAATTTCACCAAAATGTGTCCGGGAAATGTGCGGGAATTTCATTTTCTACCTTCCGTGGCAACCCTGATTCTAGACACAAGATTGAAAGTGACTCAAGAAGCTCCTTTTGACGGTAAAAAGTCGGATTTGAATTGATTTTAGGAGGTTGACAGTGGGTGACGGAATGAGCGCTCAGGTGCGAGATCGTGACGGCGGCTCCAAATCTGGCCTTTGTCGGCGAGACCCGAGACACGGTGCGCCCCTCCCGCGCGGAGGTCGTGAACCCGTGCGGGGGTGGCGGGGGTGGCCGTGGACATGCGCCGCGGGGCCCCGGAATCGATTGCAACGCCCCGTCGAGCGGTCGCCCCGAAATCCGCTGATCGCCCCCACCTTGGCTCCCCGGCTCAGAATCTGGGGTTTTCCAGCCCGGTCTGGCAACCGGGGTAAACGCTTGGCGGGCGCGCGCCCTCCGCTACTCTCCGTAATGTGTTTACCTCAATTATTAACTCCAATTTCGATCCACGTGCCACGCCGTGTGCTACCTAGACTGCGTCCTCTGATTTCCGGGATTCCTTAATCACGGTGTCTACAAGTCCGAAATTTCCGCAAAGTTCGGAAATAGTACTGATTTGTTAAGGGAGGTCCCAAAGTACTGAAAAAGTGCGAAAATCCGCTGTAAGGTCCGGAATTTTTTTCATTTTTGTCGCAATTTGAGCGGGAAATTCAAATTTTTGAAATTTTTCGAAATTCGTCAATTGGAGGTACTGAAAAAGGACTGAATTTTTCTGTCGAGAAGGCACTTAATTTCTTGGGAATGTACTGAAAAAGTACCGTAAAAGAACTGATTTTTGGTCAGCCTGTTTTAGTAGACACCCTGCTTAATGGGACCTTTGCCACGCGGAGGACTTTTATGGATGTGAGGTCAGGGTGTCCACTAGTCCGAAAAAGTACTCATTTCTTAAAGGCGCACGGTGGATTGAGTTAATGGGAAAGGTTGCACATAAATTAAAACTCCAATAGCTTTTAGTGGTTTATAAACGGTTCCACCAGTTTCCTCGTTAAATTTTCTTCCCAAAGCTCCCCTTAAAATTTAACATGTGATTAAATAAGTACATTAAAACTTGCAGTTTTAGTCAAAAATTTCATATTCGACCCCTCTATTTGACTCGATCTATTGTTGGGCGATCCAGTAGAACTGAAAAAGTGCAAAAATGCCGCTAGAAGGTCCGGAATTTTTTCCTTCATACCACGCGTGGTTTTTAAAAAAAGTCTGGATAGTATGCAATCCCTTACGCCTTGATTCTTAGAGTATAGTATTTATCTGCAAGATCGAGATTATGCAGCCAGTAAATCTTCAAGTCACCGATGACATTTGGTGTCTACGTCATTTTTGTCACAATTCGAGTTAGAATTTCAAATTTTCTAAATGTTTCGGATTTCGTCAAATGTAGGGACTGAAAAAGTAATGAATTTCTCTATCAAGGAGGCACTGTATTTCTTTGAAGTGCACTGAAAAAGTACCAGCCTGTTTTAGTAGACACCCTGGAGGTCCTTAGAGGGCTTCTTAGGGCGCAAAAATTTTGACGGCTTTAGATGGGGCTACCAATTCGACAGTTGGACGTATTTGTGCCAAACGGAACTGTGTGCATTATGACGTGAGCCCTACTATGCACGTATTCTTATGGATCTCAGGGCTCATGTCTTAATGCACATAGTCCCGTTTGGCACAAATACGTCCAGTTATCATCCACTACACCCGTTACCAACCTCGCCCCAAAGAAAGATCTATGCAGGACCGAGCTGTTACTGTACCGTTAAAAATAAGTTTTTATTGATGAATTAAGTAGGTTTAATTATCTACAGTGCAGCAAGTGACGGCGGTCGTTTGGGGTCTCGGAGAACAAGGCGCACAAGTGAAGTTTTTGAAATAATTGAGATACCACTATTAGTTTTTTTTGGATGTGCTTGAAGTATCGTTAAAATTGAAGGCGAAATGATCTTTTTGGTTTTGACTCGGACCTCGTGCCGCGCTTTGAGGCGACATCTGGGCAAACTTTACCTAAACTTGACGCCGTATTACTCGGAGGACGATCTCTGCGACAATATTGGAGCTAGAAACTTGGTGTTTTGGATGCGGGTTTCATTATTCTTTGCTGATCTATAATGCGGAAGCATCGAAATACGATTATGCGAGGCTATTGAGTGATGAACTGTTCTGCCGTGCTAAGGAAGGACGCCGTATAAACCTTCAGGCGTTGCCAAATTTCCTTTGATAATACACGAATTCCCTGGTAAACTCATAAATACCTTTCTTCTAATTTCTCAGAAAATTTTGTTCGGAATTTCACCTGAATCTCCTGAAAATTTCAAGGAAAAATATTCTTAATTTTCCTCAAAAATGAACATTTTATCGAAGGAAGTTTGGCAACTGTCGAATGTTCTTGCTCAGCACAGCAGTGTAGCTATTGCAGCCATTGGTGAATCGGGCGGATATGAGAATGTGCGGATTTCACTCTGAGGTTCTTTCTGCATAGATGTATTTTTAAGTATATAATTGAAGCATGTTGCTCATGATGTTGTTTGTGTTGTTGCAGTGGTTTGTTCAACTGGGGGAAGCGGAGCAATGCGAATTCAAGTTCCCAGCGGCAGATCCCGAGTAATCCCTCTCCGGAAGCCGCACGGACTGCCCCGCCCACGGTTAGTGATCCCTCATCCCTTCTTAATAGCCCAGTTACCGTAACCGCTCATCCGCCGCGCCGCATGGATCAAGAGCATCGGCTAATTTCAGATGATTCGTCAAGCTCAAGTGACGTGGTCCAACTGGCATGCGACATATCGCATCGATTGGCTCAAAACTTCCTGAAATATAAGCAATATCCGCTTTAATCCGGCAACTTCGAACGAGATAGAAAGTGTGGCCGCGTCGCATCATAATAAATGTCACGACTACGACATTAAACGCAGCCACCGTAATCATCTCGCAGAAAAAATAGTCCGGATTTTCCACGCCCGGATTTCTACTCTTCGACTGCTTTGATCTCGATTCCGTAGATCCCTCTCCCAACTCAAGTGACGTTTTTGCACAGTATCACATTACATCGGGGAAAAACCATGATTAAAATCACCGCAATAGTGGTACTTAATTTGAACAATTGATTAAGCACTTCTAACACTAGAAAAAAAGCTTCAACCAGATTTGCATGGAATAATCTCAATTTGCTAACGAGCCATAGTTCTTGAAATTTGACCATCAGGATTTAACGGGTTTAACACACTGCCGTGCTAAGAAAAAATACCGTATAAGCCTTTAGACGTTGCCAAGTTTTCTTTGATAAAATTCAAATTTACTGGAAAAGTTTTAAACATTTCTCTCCAATTATTTAGGCAATGTTTTTCGTAATTGTATCTAAAATATTAGAAAATTTCAAGGAAAATATACATAACTTGCCTCCTAAATACATATGTTTTACCTAGGGAAATTTGGCAAATCTTGAATGTTCATTCGTCATCCTCCCACCCGACCCGCCCTATCTCTAAACATGCGCAATACTAGCTTTTAAGTATCTCTTAAAATATGAGTGCCACGGAGTCAAGTCTCAAGTTGAGTTGCGATACACCGTGCATCCTTTTAGCACTCGAAAAGACTGAATTTTTTACTCATACTTAGTCCACGCATACTAATGGGGGGAAAAAAGTATTTTTATACCCATCTCATCTTAGAAAATGCCTTTTACATGTTGTCACAACGAAGAAAATCATTTGCGGACACGTTTGGCGATAAAGTGGGTGCAAAGCATATTATGGAGACCTTTTAAGGGCAACTCATAAGCTGAGGCTCAAAATAAAAAGGCTCAAAATAAAACTGATGGGAATGAGCTTAGCGTGCCCGCTTCAATGCAAGTTCAGTTTTTTTTTAATATCCGGACGGAAAAAAATAAAGTGAGTGTAAGTACTTAAGAATATTTACCTTCACATAATAAGCAAGCACCGTAAAAATATATAAGAAGATTGATTATAATGTGCCTTGGAAGTATCCTAAAAATCTGCCTTTATTTATCTACTTTTTACTTGTGCCATGCAAATGACCTTGCGAGCGCCTTCAAACTTAAAGTTTACTTAAGCCGTGTAATTTAAGAGTGGCACTGCAATTATCAGCACATGTTACTTCTAATCTTTATCAGGTCTTGTGTGATGCATTTAACATGTTTTGAGTGCCTAACTGCCTACTCCAAACCCATCATGAAAAAGTCGTAGTAAAACTTTATCTTTTGTCGTAAAAGAGCCAAAGGGCATATGTACGGAAAAAAGTTCAACTTTCAAATGATATTAATTACTCTTACGTTGATATCAGGACTAAAAGTTTATCGCGACTGATGACAGAGCGAATGTCATCATGTCGAAAATTGGTCCTAACAAGCCAATTAAAGTGCATGGACACATGATGTTATTCCCACCTCTGATTGGTAAACCAAGACCAACACATCTCCTTATATGGTAATCACACATGGTCATGCACAGCATTCTTCTTTTAATATATATATATATTGAAATTAACTATCAAGACTGTTGTTTTTTAGTTGTAAACAATTTATCAGCAAAATTTTGCGTCCGCGAGTAGTAATTTCTAGGAATTCGTAGTAAAAGCTTATCTTTTCTAACGAAATGACGAATGTTTACTCGGTTGACCTGCGACCTGCACGCGACCAAGATGTCCATCCGTAATTAGTTTGCTGTTACCTACTGTTTTTTTCTGCCAGTTGAGTGCTTAGTCAAGAGTCCATCGTTGGATAATTAGGTGAGGCTGTTGAGTTTATTAGTGGCCGTGTATCATGCTGAGTTCTACATCTACATGCATGGCTCAGGTGATCGCTTTAAGCTTTACTAGATATGTGACGATGTTGCTGTCATAGAGCTCGTCAACGCGGTCATCGGAGCTTATCAACACGGTCATCGGCTTAGCGCACTACATGAAGGTCCCTTCCCTTGAACTCCTAACTTATGATCTTCGTTAATTATCGAGTCAATTAATTTTGTGAACTTTGTCAGGCAACTACAAGTCACCTTTGTTGCAAGCGCTAGTTCTGTAACTCTCGTTTGTGGTTTTTCTATCCTCGTCTCATTGCAGGTGCACGAATAGAGTGCATTCCTTGTGCCGTGTTCAAATAAAAAGCCAGACTTTCAAGATTTATTTTCTCACATGCAAATTAAGGAAGCGATAATTAAACCAAGTTTTGTCGCGTGCTCAGTTTTCTTGAAATAATGTACAATCGCATGGTGTTTACAGCTCAAGAAAACCTGGAAAACGAATTAGTTAAAATATATCTTCAGCGTTTTGGAGAATGATTCTAAAGTGGATTAATTTAATGAATTGATAATTTCTGGATTCTTTAGGATATTTCTAAGAATTTCCGAGTATTGCATCACCCTATAGAAGGTCTAGTATTAGTACCCGAAATTTGACAAAGATACACTTTCAAATAACTGCGAAACTACGTCTTTAAAGTATATGGCAAACCTTTTTGCCTTTTCATTCGTGATATTCACTCGGGGCGTACTTCAACAGGTATTTTAAATTTTGTCTCTTGTCAAATCTTGTGTTCAAATCCTTGATTGGCTACAGCATGCTGTGATGCTCGGAGATTTTGTCAGAAATATCCTAAAATCTAGGAATAATCAATTATTTAATTGACTATCCAATTTTTTTCGAAATTTCTGAAAAACCATCTTAATATGCTATTGATATCCCATCCAGCGGCCCCATTGTGCACAGATTTCATGTCTAGGGAGAAAAATGTACGTACGTTATGTAGAATAGTAAAAAGTGATCGCATGAAGTGTCAAGTCTAATAATGGGCCGAGCTTTAGCATGTGGGTCTTCCCTTCTTTCAGTCTCGTTTCTCTCCATCAGGAGCCTGTTGAAGTGTGTTAAAAAGATATTAATAAAATCAGCGGAAATTAGTGTGAGCAGTCTCCGCAGGATGCGCCATCATCGTTCCATTTCGGGCGTTCGCTTCCTCGTTATAGGTCTCGAGTTTTGGCCAAGCTTTTTCGGCCCCGGACGGCAGCCGTTAATCCTTGTTTCTCGCATCGTAAACAACCTTGCAGCCTCACCAAATTGTATTTTTTTTCTTTCTTTTTTTTCCGCTGGCTTATCGGCCTCTGTTTCGCTAGGAACCTACAGCCATCTATAGAGTAGATTTATTGTCCGTAGACAGCAGGGCGATAGGGACATCCACGCTCGAGGCTTTTCAAATTTTCAGGGATTTAGGCCGAGGCCGAATTGTAGTAGAATCCTAACGGATCACTGGATAGGGTACTAAATTAATGACGACTGGACGTATTTCTGTCGAACGGAACTATGTGCATCAAGAAATGATGCATAAGAATATGTGCATAACAGGGCTCACGTCATAATGCACATAGTTCCGTTTGATAGAAATACGTCCAACTACATGAGGTAGGCAGAAGCGGGCCGACAAGAGTCGCTATCGTGGTATGAAGTTAGTTATGAATTGTGGATGCGAGGAGAGCAGTAGAGTCCCTCATTCCGAGGGCAGGGCTGCGTTTTCCTCCGAAATCCTACTCAACTTTTTCCTCGTATACTCAGTGGTTAAGACGTGCAACTAGCCCTCGTATGGGAATTTTCTCGTTAAAAATATGTCAAGTAGCCGGCCAGGTTGGCCCAGTGGTCAGCGCGTCTGCCTCTAGTTCAATAGGTCCCGGCTTTGAATCTCTGTGTTGGTGACATTTTCATGGAACTGACGAGTCAGCGCATCTGCAGAAACAGATTCCACTCGGCCTTAATCCCTGGAAATTTGAAAGCCTGGAGCATGGATGTGCACTAACCCTTAGCCGATGCACATTCAAGGTTTCAGAATCCTCAAATGTATCAAAGACCTCGAATAACTTGGGGGAGGGGGGGGGGGGNTGAAACTACCAAACCACGTATCTCGGTTTGCGACGTCGCAGACTTCCTGTCATACTTTATTTTTTAAATGAAAAACTACTTAACATCCAGTCTTGAAAATTTATGTGATTTTTCCTCTTTGTGTGGAAAAAATTCCGTGAAAATTTCAAGGAATGATATTGATTTGGTCTACTTCAAAAAAATAAAATGTGAGCGTAGATTTTTAAACACCGCAAACGAGATACGTGGTTTGGTAGTTTCACCGTCGACATGTGATTCCTCACCCTGTCTAGGGTTTCGTTGTATTCGAAGCGTAATTAAAGGATTTTAAAGGAAGCTAGGGATACCCGGTGAAATTTGACAGCGTCCTAAACGTTTGAGCCTGGCTGCCCCCTCGTTTACCCCGGTGAGTTACGTCGACGGCTAATTGATCACAAGCCTGGCAGGCGGTAAACACGAGTCCTCAGTGAGTCAGTGGGCCTCGTCCAAAATATTACGGCCAAAATGCTCCACTAGACAGGGTAATTAAGTAGGTACAACAGAGTTTGTTTTCAAGTCAAAATTTTGCGTAAAACACGATAAACTCATCAACAAATTTCAAATTCGATCATAAGTTAGAGATGAACGTGCGTGGTCCACATTACAAACAGTAAATTCTTTCACGCTTGCGAAAAGACTACAATTGAGGCGCTGAGTGCAGGGCATTTCTTGGTTGCTATGCATGTCTCAGAATGTCCGGGAACGCTTCATTCATCATGTCGGAAGCAAATTGATGGAATTTTTAAACTTT